CTATTCATTTTGTGAATTTCAAGATCTTAGCATTTATAAACATAAGATCATTTTTTTTTAATTTTTTAACATTGTTCATCTACTGATAATAAAGCCATCCAAAAAAACTGAAAATGAAAAAATCCTTCTAGGGCTTAGATCTAAGCATCTCACCAAAATGAACGGCCTATGTTAATTGGGCTAAAATAATACTTTCTAAGTTGTGTTTTCATTTTTTTCTTTTTTTGTGATTGTTCATTAGAATGAAAAGAGTGTATATTTCAAAATTTGGATCAAACAAATGGCCATAAGATGGTTTTTTAAGGTTGTTGCATCATATTACTATACAATGGTTGCATGAAATCATTGCCCTTCTTTAATAGTTGGGATAAGCTTAAATTTATTTATGTAGAGTGCTTTATTTGAGAGGAACTTAATAGGTTTAGGAAAGGTAATATGAGGGGAAGTCATGTGATACGACATTCCTCTACCGTCGGATGGGCAACCATGTGAATAGTATTAAGAAAGAAAGAGAGAGAGAAAGAGAGACATCGTGTTGGGACAGGGATCCTAGAAAAGTGGATCTAAGGAGAGAGAAAATATGACAGTTAGAGATTGAGTACATAGGTGATACAATTTAGATATAAGTGGAAATATTTCTTAAAAGTTTTGTAGTAGAATAGAAAGATATCTTTTCTATTATTTTATTTTTCATTGCTTGTACAAAAAGGAAGGGAGACACTCTATTGAAGAAAACGAAAATATTTTTGTAGATAATTTATTTATGAATGAAGAAAGATATCTTCTTCTTCTCTATGGTTTGATTGACAACAATATTTTTCCCTCCAGTATTGTTGAATTTTTGCTTGTTTAAGATCAAAAGAATGTCAGATTTAATTTCCTGGACTTCTTTTGCATCAAAAGGGATAAGAAAGGACTCAGAAACGAACACGATAGTTCATGTCTTACTTCAAATGGACCTCAAATGAGTGTGATATGCTCCCTTCATGGTACTGTGTTTCTGCTAGAAATTGCATCAGCAATAACAGTGGATCACGGATGCAACCGCTTCGATTATACAAATCAATCAATGCTACACCTTTTCAGGGTGATAAAACATCGAGTAAGGAATCCAACGGTCCTAGCCTCATAAGAAAATTCGTCATATTAAAAGAGAAATCTCCATTTTAGTAATCGGGGGTCATCCTGGCTGTAACACATGGAGCATATGCCTTTTAAAGCTTAAATTATCAAGCTATGCAGATGATGACTGAATTCACCTCCGGGAGGCTTTAAATGCAGGGTTATGCGGATGATGAACAAGTTCACCACTAGGTGATACGAAACTTCGAGGTGAGGGTTATGATTCCTCAAACATACGCATTGAAAGTCCCAGCTCAATTCCAAAACATGAAGTTTTGGGGTACTAGTCAACGCCTATCCAACTGACAAGTTAAAGAGTCATATCACATATCACCAAAAACTCCTCCAATATCTAGTGGAGAGGCATCCATGTGTCATGTGAGTATATGTATCTTAGAGTTTTGTTTCAAAATAAAACGTCTTCATGATCTCTTGTCATAAACCGTAAGTTATGATGCACATGTATAACTAATGATGGATTCAAGAAAATATGTATTCTAGAACTCGTCTTACAATGAGATGACTTTCATATCTTCTATCATCAACTATAAGTTAAACTTGCACATGCTTAACTAACGAACTATTGTATCTTTTGTCGATCGTAAGTTAGAACATATAGAGGCTAATTGACGAGTCAGAATTCTGAAGGCATATTGGGACCTTCATATCACAAATCTTGATCATGTCATATCTTCATATCATGGGGCATATTTGAGCAGGTGTTATCAAGAATCGTACTCGTATCTTATTGATCATATATTAAGACAATTATCCAACGTGCGCTACCAACTTTACTGTATATATGATTTCTTCAATCTGTCAAGCGTTTGCTAGAACACACTTAGTCTCATATGAGGACTAAGAAGCATGTTTATCATCCAAGATAAATTTTCAAAGGCTAAACTTGTCGAATTTATATTTTTTCCATCCAGCGTTCATTAAGACAACTTTATCCAGCATGCATTATAAAACTCACACTTATCTAGCATTGGTTCAAAACTTACGCTTGCATCAACATCTCTATCAAATATTGGATCAAAATCATCTTTATCGAATGCTAGTTAAAATACACTTAGCCTCGTATGAGGACTAGAAGCATACCTAACCTAAGGCACATTTTCTGGGTTTTAAGTTTGTCAAGACATTTATCCAGCGTGCATTAGAAACCTTGTTTCATAATCACCTCAATCTTTAGTAAGCATTCATTAAAATATGTGTAGCCTTGCTTGTGACTAAAAATACACCCAACAGATACATGGTAAGTGATACAGTTAAAAGAATTTCTTCCTACCTTGTTGTATGCCAATTCAAAGTATGTAAGCTTAAAATGGAACCTTTCCCCCTGAACTGGTCTTCTTTCCTCATGCCTTACAAGTACTCTCACTGCGTCGAAAAACTTCTCCACCTGCTTCCACCTCCCTTTGCAACCTGCTCTGTGAGAAGCCTCTGCACTCCTTCGCCTCCCTCCTACATGTTTCCGCCTCCACTTAGCTACCTCGCCTGCCAGGTACCTATCTCTTCTCTCTCTCTCTAACCCATCTCTCTCTCTCTCCTCTTCTACTACAACCCTCATTCTCTCTATTGAATCTTCTTACCTTTTGTCATTGCCCATTGAAATGGAGAGCTGAGACTTGATTTGGCTATGCCAATCTATTTGGTGCATTTTAAAAAGAACAATGGTTTCATGTAGGTTAGACCGCATTTCTATAATATGCTATCCCGAGGTATAAAGCATCCATCTTAAAGATGGATGCAAATAGGTGCTCCATTTAAAAACAATTGTAACTAAAGTTCCAAATGTTTTTTCAATATAAAGTATATATATATATATATATATTCATATTCATGATCTCCATGTTAAATATTATATATCCTCTAAAAAATTAGAATTAAATTATATTTAAAAAATATATTTATTGCCAAGCCCACATTTCTACATGTGCGAGCTTGGACGCATGCTAACCACATCCTTTTAAAAAGTTTCAAACTAGTGTTTTTCTTTAGGAGCTTGTTTTTGTGATGATTTTCCTTAATTAGATTGCTTTTAAAGATGAAAAGACTGATATGGAGCCTTGCTAGATCTCTAATTCATCTCAAAAGTGGTTTTCGAGGTGAACGACTTACTTAATGTTGTGAATGTCGTAGATTATTATAGTTTTTCTCCTCTGTTTAGCATCAATGGAATTGGAAGTTATTTTTTGTGTTCCTTTTGTGTTCATCAACCATTTCTTCTTGGTTTACTTGTGGGTGGTTTGTATAGGACCAAGACTCTAAACAATCAAAGTAAAGCACACATTCAAAGTATCAAGAAATGCGGCTTCAATGGAGAAAATCTTTGAGATAGCCTTAAAATATATTCATATCTAATTATAAAATTTAAAGCTTCAAAAATAGTGTAGATCAAGCAGATCTATGAAAACTTGACAATTGACAATCCAAAATGCATTATAAGATGCACTATTTCCAAAACTTGAAATCCATTTTTTCTTATGTCCATGTATCTTGATGTCGAGATGACTCATTAGAAGATATATGTGCATGAAAGCAACCCCTTCTAGTGAAAATTTTGAGTTGCACCCTAATTTGATTGTTTAGAGCCTCGCACTAATATAAACTTTTAATCTCAACATTAACACATCACCAGATCTTAAGAGCTCAATAACTTTATTCAGTTATTTATTTGTTTATTTATCTTTTTTGAAATTGTTATGGTGAATAGGTGAAAGACCCTCCGGAAAATTTTGGATAAAAAATTGTCCCATGTTTTTCGGGTGCCCGACCATGTGTTAGAAATGGTCTCGAGTGACTACCAAAATAGTTGCGCCCAGTTTAACATGAAAGCCCTCACGGGTGAACGCCCAAATTAAATCAGTGTACAAGGGCGTTTCAGATATATATCATCCTAACAGGGCTTCTTTTGAGATATCTGAGGAGAGCTCTTTTTCTCTATTTAAAGTCGCCACCCCTTCGTCCCTCTTCCATTTATCGGTCTCTCTTTCCTCTCTCTCTTTCTCTCTCTCTAAAATTTCATTTCTTGAGATCCAAGGTTACTTTAAAATTCCAGATTTATTTTTCTCTTATATATATTATAATTTCATTCTTTTCATTATTCATACTGTTTATTTTCAGGGAAAAGGAGAAAAATCGGAAAATATGAGCAGCATCGGCACTGGTTATGATCTTTCAGTGACCACTTTTTCACCAGATGGTCGCGTTTTTCAAATTGAATATGCTGCTAAAGCAGTTGATAATAGCGGGTATGGTTTTTATTCTTTAGTTTTTTTTTATATTTTGTGAGAATTTTTTGGGTTATTTCTTCTGTGTTTACTGTGTTTGAATTGCTTTTTGAATCTATTTTAAGGTCTGAATTTTTGTTTCAGGACTGTTATTGGAATTAAATGCAAGGATGGCATTGTTCTGGTTAGTGGGTTTTCTTTTTCTGTTCATGGTTTTTTGTTTTAGGTCCAGTTTTTGTTTCATTGGTTTGCTGGTTTTAGCTCTTTGTTGTGACTTTGTGTTTATTGGTTTAATGATCTTCACATGTAGTTATGAAAGAATGGTTTTATTTTTATGGTGGTTTTATTAGGGTGTCGAGAAACTTGTAGCTTCGAAGATGATGTTGGCGGGTTCCAATCGAAGAATTCATTCAGTTCATCGACATTCTGGCATGGTATTGTATCTAGGGTTTATGGTTTTTTGAGAAAATTAGTTTGAACATGAAGTTTATTTATTATACACTGATCTCCTCCCCCTCTCTTAGAACAATAGTATTGGCTAGTCTATGTTTAGTCACATCTATCTAGTAACGCTTGTTTGAATTGCAACTTATAATATGCCCTATTATTCCTGGTATTTGTAGAACTTATTACCTTGATGCTTTTTCTATGTTTTGAATAACCTCCTAACCTAGAATAACATATGGACTTACTTTTACAAAAGGTTATTTTATTTTCTAGTAACATGTGATGCAGGTACATGGGTCTTTTTCTCTTTTTTTTTTCAGATTTTTGCTACATGGGTATTTTTAGGAGCTCTGATCAGTTTTCTGAGGATGAGATAAATATATCTTGCCTGAGAACTTTGCGCAAACCTATATCTTTCTTTTACTGATCAATTGTTGATAGTTGCTCAAGGTCTTGAATTTGCTGCATAAACTTAAAATGTGCACTATCCTAAAAGTTCCACATGGTTCAATTGGGCGTTGAAATTTCTTATTACCAATCAGCAAAGTTTGTATTGCTTCCATTGGGAGCTTTGAAACTTTGTGTTACACCAATAAATTAGAAACAAATCTTAGTGAAAAAAATTGAAAATAAAAAAAATTGTGTTGCTTGCAAAAAAAGTTGCGTTTGTGATGGAAACTACCTAGGGTTTTCTTGGGCTATATGATATGGGTAATGAGCTTGAATATCATTAAAAGACATGGAGATCGTGTAGTATCTTATCTCTATTGTTACAACAACATGTTGGTTTTGTTTGAGGTCTAGGGCAACTACTAGTAAAAAGAAAAAAGCATCAAAATGCATACGAGTCAAAAGTGAGTTTCTTTTGGGATGGTCTCCTGCTTTCGAAGGCAGTAATTCATATTTAAACGTTGCTTGGCTTCCTCTCAAATTTCTTGCTCTAGTTTCCTGATGTAAAAAATTTAACTTAAGATTCAAGTAAAAGAATCTTTTTCTTTCATAAAATAAAATTCATTATGATAACTTAAGCATCCCGTAATGTGACGTCTCACCTTTTTATATGCCTATAAAACCTTAAATTTAACTTAAGATCCAAGTAAACAGTTTAAAGCTCTAAAATACCCCTAAACGATATTAAAAATTTCCAGAAATACCCTATGCTTACTAACCCATGAGCAACAATATGAATAGTAACCTATGAACAATACCCATGAATGGTAAAAAATAGAAAAATAGAACTAAATGTTGGAGATCAACTCCATATTATAATTCCTAAAAAATGAACTTCAATAAAGAATAAAAGGTATACTCACATCCATGAAATTAAAAAAATTAAATTAAATTCTTGAAGCACCTAGCTCTTAATCCCCATCATTTCCCCTGGTTAGAGAAAACTCGCCCTCGAGTTTTGAAATAGGTTAAGAGAATTCTCCTGTTAACACTAGGTCCCTTTTAACCCGAATATTGCGCATTTGAGACTACGGCTTGATCCTGAGACTTATAGGTTATATAGGCCTAATCAAAATATCCTCGAAAATATTAGGAAGTGGGCTTGGGTAAAGACAGTAGAGACTAGGTTTTCATAGCCCAACGTCTCAAGTTCCATTCCTATGTAACCTTGTTCGAAAAAAAAAAAAATTCCTCGAAAATATCCTGAAATAAGTTTGCAGAGGATTTTGGTACATCCAGCTATAGTAGCCTGCCTTTGTGGTATGGAATCCTCTAATTGGTAACAGGAAAGGTCAGCCCCACCATTGGTGAGAGAAAAGAGCTGTTTACGGTCACTGCATCCAGTTTCCTTCTCTTTTACCTCTTTACCACCATAACTATCGTAGCCATGACTATAATTGCAACGACCATCACCATCGCCTACAACTTGTTCTTCGTCATAAATAGGAACTCCAAGTTCTTCATTTTCATCAAATGGTTCATTAAAAATAGGATCACAATCAAAGGTAAGATCACTTGGTTCTTTATCACTGTCAAAGATAGGAACACTATCAAAGATGGGACCATCCACTTATTCAAAGAATATTGAATCCAATTGAAGAATTTTTCTTTTTTTGAGAAAGTTAACCTTTAATTATAAGTATAAGGAGTTACAAAGAAACAAAAAGTCTAGGCTTTGTCCCACAAAAATATGCTTATGTCAATTGAATATTGAATCCAATTGAAGATTGGATTAGTGTTTCTCCCTCAAAATTAGCTTATGCAGCTTATGTGAATACCATCGCACATCAAACCCATCTCTACATAACTTGACTCGTCATCAGTCCATTCCCACTCAGACTTAGGCTCTTATTCGCTCCAATCTCCATAAAACCCTCACAATTTGGATTTGTCCCTGCATATTCGTCTTCGTTTAGGGCACACTGTTATTGTTCTCACTTGCGCAACAATTGTGTAACCTTCTTTGTCAAGTTGTTGATTTCCTTGGGTAATCGGATCAGATCAACATCCCTACAGCTAATACCTCCACGACCATCCATCACAATCTCTATATGAACCGTGCTCTGTTACCAATTTGATGTAGAAAAATTGAAGGAAGAGTAAAAATTAGCAATAACGGAGAAAAAACATGGTTGTAAATCTAGTCAAGAGAAAATGAATTTTTTTCTTTCATAAAATAAAATTCATTCCAACAACATAAGCATCACATTACTAATCCCCCCCAAAAAAACATAAGCATCCCATAGTATGATGTCCCGCTTTTTATAAGCATATGAAATCCTAAAATTAACTTAAGATCTAAGTAAACAATTTAAGACTCTAAAATAGCCCAAAAAAATATTAAAAATTCCAGAAATGCCCATATGAATAGTAACCCATGAAGAGGATTGTGAATAGTAACTCGTGAACAGTACTCATGAGTAGCAAAAAAATAAAAAAATAGAAACTAAGTGTTGGAGATTAACCCCACATTATAATTATGTAAAAATTAAACCCGAATAAGAAAACAAGATGTACACTAACATCCATGAAATTAAAAAAATAATAAAATAATTTTTTTGAATCATCTAGCTCTTGATCTCCATCATTCCCAAATGCAAAGAGCTTTTAAGTTTCTCATAAGGCACTTTGTTTTTTCCCCCCCTTGAATTTTGCACATGATTTTGAGTTATCTTCTTATGGTAAGCATATGATTTGGTTGCCTGGATTGGTCACATTTGTCTAATGAGCCAAGTTTTATATTCTTTGGGGACTAGTTGGGAGCCAAGGAGTATCATGGGTAGCTCGTTGAATGCCTCTATGGGTTCTCTAACCAATCTCATTTAAAAATTTCAATATCATGTGATTCCCTTCCTTGACTCATCAAAGGGTTTGGAAGTTAAGTTATTTTATGTGACTCTTTCACACAACTGGGTAATAGTTTGAAATATGTTGCATCAGTATTCATTCACTTGTCCAAGGAGTCCAACAGCAGTCACACTATTGATTTTTCTTTTCTTCACCGTGGAGTTGAAGATGAATGGCTCGCTGAATCAATCAATACTCACATTGTTATATATTTCTTGTCTTGGAGTTGAAGATAAATGGCTCGTTTGTAATGAAATTGTTGAAAATATGACAAATAACTTTCCTAATGCTGAAGGAGAATAAGCAAGGGAAAGAAGGAAATCATGATGCAGCTAGACCCTTTTTTTCAATTGACTTTCTTCTTATTATTGCAAGGGGGTGAAAAAGTTTATACATCATGGTATGAATAATCAAAATTTTCTAACGCTGAATGAGAAGAAGTAAGGAGGAGGAAACAATGGTGTTTCTAGATCCTTCTTTCAGTTTACATTCTTTTCATTATTAAAATATCTCATGCCAAAAGACCTCATGATCCCATGGGTGTCTACTGTCCATTTTCTCACTCAGGTAAAACTCGGTCTAGGAGTAATTTTAAGACCCCAAACTTTGGGCATGTAAACTCTTCAACCTGCGGACTAACATTAGTAAAAAGAAATTTCCAAATTGCGCTCTCTGTTTGAAAAAGACAATGTCTCAAGATTGAACACATAGTGTTCAATTTTTGCAGGGTGAGATCTAAGTGTTAGAAAACTCAAACTTCAAATTTCTTTTTTTTTTTTTTGAAAATAATCTAGTGATTCTTAGGTGGTTTCCAAAATTTTGGATGGAAAAAATACTCCCAATCAGGTCTTCTAGGATGTACGCTATACTGCTGTGGGAGCATGGTATCATACCCATATCTTATTGTTGCAAGGAGTTTAAGATTATAGTGCAAATAGATAAAGAAAAAATCTAATTAAGGTGGCAAAATATCCTGTATCTATGTTTATCCTTAAATACTCCCAGATTTGGTATCTTGTCTTCCATTCTATTTGCCCTTTGAAAAAGTGAGATACATCTGGAGTGCACATACCCCATGTGAGATCCCTCCCTTGTGCAAAATTATCATTATTTCCTTGCAATATTCAGGGGATTGCCACATCTACTCTGAGCCTTCTGATCAGTCCCCCCTTTAATAACTTTTGCTTCTTACTTTTGAAAGTTTAGTGCATCTTATTATGTTCTTACTTTATGCCAGTATAAATTAGTTCGTGATTTTTTGTTTTATCCTCCAGTACTTGTTTCATTGAGTGCATATTCATTTTCACCTTTTTTTTAATTGCCTTAATGCAATCATACAGGCTGTTGCTGGTTTAGCTGCAGATGGCAGGCAAATTGTTGCACGTGCCAAATCCGAAGCAATCAACTACGAAAGGTTAGTCATTCAAAGTACAATCCCCTACAGTTTTATTGTTTACCTCAAGCTTTTTTCCGATTCAATTCAAAGGACAGAAAAGAAATTTCTCTGATGGCTAGTGTTATTTAGAAGTTGCGGATGCATATATTCCTAGGTGATGATATATGTAATGCCACATCACATCAAGTTAATACCAAGCGGTGTCATTTTCTAATATTGCAGTGTTTATGGTGAGCCGATCCCCGTAAAGGAACTTGCTGAGCGTGTTGCTAGCTATGTACATCTTTGCACACTATATTGGTGGTTAAGGTCAGAAATATCTCTCATCACTCCTTTCCAAAGTAATAAAACATTCATTTTCCCTATTTTTATTTTGAGATAACGTATAGTATTATATATATATTTTCCCTGTGCTTCTATAAGATCGAGCATGTGTTTTCAATTAATTTAAGTATGACTGTTAGTGCAGACCTTTTGGTTGTGGAGTTATTCTTGGAGGTTATGACAGAGAAGGACCACAGCTATACATGGTTGAACCTTCCGGAGTTTCCTATGTGAGTATCTACTGTTTTTATATTTCCTTTGTAAAGTTGTTATTTCTATTTGGGTGTGATTTGTAGAAGGTGGCAACCGCAACTACACCGTCCATTTTAGTTGGACCCAATGTTCCCAAAATCGAACCAGAACGGTTAACTGGACATGGGGCCAAAAGCGGTTTAACCGGTAAACCGGTTGATTCTACGTTCTAACCGGGCAAGTCCCGAGCGGTCAAAATATTGTTGAAAAAAATAAAAAAGATACAAAAAAAATCTATTAAAATATGAAAAGCATTTAAAGAGTGATTAAAACAATACACATTCAAATGAAGTTGAAAATTAATGAAAAAAATGGATTTTAAAGAATCAATTTGTGCTTAGGGGTATTTTTAAATTTTTTTTGAAAAAGATGGGAAAATATAAAAGTGAGTATTAATGACCAAAACAATTTTAATCTTTACCATAATGTAAAAAAATATTAAAAAATATATTGCAAACCAAATTCTTTATTTTTGGGATTTTATATACATTTATTTTATTTTTTTTTATTTTTTAAAATAACGGCCGGTCACCAAAACCTCCCGAAATTGGAACTGGCCAGTTCCAATCTAACCAGGCGGTTACTGGTTAGATCGCTCGGTTTTTCCATCATGGAGTTGGACGGTGTCATGTCTTTTTAAGATATTGTCAAATCTACATTTAAATAAACCTTACTTCTACAAGTAAGGTGGCAATCTTATATAAACTTTTGCTTTCTGTTTTTATGATTGCTTGTTAATATCAGTTTTTCAGAAAGAATGATGGCATGTACTTTTCATTTGTGTTCCATTTTTGCTATGAATGTTATTCGAGAATATGGTATGTTCTACCATGCAGCCGTAATTTTTACAAGTTTTAATTAGTTGTGTTTGTTAATCTATGGACAGAGGTACTTTGGGGCCGCAATTGGGAAAGGCAGACAGGGTGCTAAAACGTAAGCTTGTTGTAAACTTTCCCAATTTGGGTTTATTGGTAAATTGGTTCGTAACTACATGGTCGAATGCTTTGGCATTTCTGTTTATAGGAAATTTGAGAATACCACAAGTACCAAATGCTAACGCATTCAATAATGCTTGTAAAACCAGCACGGGTTTTAAGAAAATGGTGAAAGTACACAAAAATACTTTTGGGTTTACAGTGATGAAAGTACCTAAAACTACCTACCACTGCCATTTTTTTTCTGTATTAGGTATGACCTTTGCTGTTTTCTTAAGCTACCATGGGTACCCCTCTGAAGTTCATATGTCGTCGACCTTACTCCTTTTATAGGTTGCAATGATTACTAAGGCATAGGACAATTCTTCAAACATTAACATCTGAAAGTTAATGAAAGTTAACTATTCTCAATAGAAAACAAAAAATAACCTGAAAAGCTAAGCATTTACTAATGTAGTACAAGTATTTATCAAGAAAGTTATGGTTTAGTTATCATATACTTACAATGTTTTTAATGAAATAGATTTCTGAATTTTCTAATAATTTTCCACATGGAGATGCTATGCTCCTTTTCATGGATTTCTGTCTCCGCAAATTTTCTGACATCTGAATTAAAATGGGTTGTTGTGTGAGCAGTGAGATTGAGAAGCTGAAGCTATCTGAAATGAGCTGCAGGGAAGGTGTTATTGAAGTTGCAAAGATGTAAGTTGTGCTGTCTTTGATGCTTGATTTCCTCAACTTTGTATTACTTAGCCAATTGCAAACGTTTATTTGCACTATTATAGCAGGTAGCTCCAACACTATTTACTAGGCAAGTATGCAGAAATATAATGGAGTAATGGACTATGAAAACAATAATACATGGGGGTTAGTAACATCTCCTGTGGATGGCGATGGAGACAGTGGGACGTGGCCGTAATGGATGGCACTCTCTCTCCATCACTGTCCATCTCTTAGATGGACTGTGGCTATTCAATGGATTATGATTTTTCCAAGGTCTGTTGGATATATATGTTTCTCATTTATTATGCAGGCAGTGATATGTGCATTTTTTTTTTTCATCGCTGGACTCTAATATCTCTGTATTTTATTGCGGGAAAGCTTTCTATGTCCCCCCTACAACATAGAAGTTCTATCCTCCCCCTTATCCAACCGTCCATTTTTTAATGGAGGCATCGGATCTAAGATCAAACGGTGAGTGGCTCTCTTGATAAAAATGGATGGCTGGATGGTAGGGGGAGGATAGAACTTCTATGTTGTAGGGGGAACATAGAAAGCTTTCCCTTTTATTACTAGGGGGAGTAAATAGGAGTCTAAGTTTCAAAATTTCTCCATGGCTCCTCTTAACCTCTCATTAACCTAAATCTAATCTTTAGAAGAATAAGTTCAAGGTTCCAAGATTAGCTCTATCACAATTATTGTTATATCTCTCTCTAACTCGAGTGAACTCCTTCGTTCTCTCTCTCACAAAGTGTAGAGAAAGTAGGACTTGCATCTAAAGACTCATTCTAAAACTCTCCCTCTTGTTCTCTTAGTTGAACTGTCTCAACTCTCTCTCTTTCCATTCCTCTCTCTCACATTCTAAACAATGATTAAACCCCCTGAACAGATCAATCACCTCTTACTGGCTAGCCCAAGTACCGCGAGTCCACCATCAGCCTTTTATGGGTGGGAAGGGAATAGATGACTGAATAAAGCAACTAATTAATTTTCTTGCGCAAGAATCGAATGACTTCTCGACTGATTACTGGCCGACTCCACTGTAGGAGACAACACAGCCTTTTGAGAGAAAGTAGGACTTCCATCCAAAGACTCATTGTAATATTCCTCCCTCTTGTTCTTTTAGTTGTCCTGTCTCAACTCTCTCTCGTTCCGTTCCTCTCTCTCACATTCTAAACTTACTGATTGTTGAAATTCCTAGATTATCATCATCTCTAACCAAACTAACCTCTCTCTCCGTCTCCCAATTCATTCTCAATACTTCTTTCTCACGTACAGTATGAAATTGAAATCATCATCATCATTAGAGCTTTATCCCAACTATTTGGGGTTGGCTCTCGTTTCTTACTGTACCTGGGAAGTATGAAATTGAAATAAAAAATAAAAAAAATAAGGAAAACTTGTAAAAAATAATCATTTAATATTCCAATTAAAGAGCTTTCCAGGAAAATAAAGTTTCCATCTTAGTTTTATAGCATCACGCAATGCATGTGCCATTAGCTAGTTTTGTTCTAAATGTCATGTACATAGTTTACTGGCTATATTAATTGGCATGCGTGTTCCATATGGGGAGCAACAAGATAAGAATACAAATTCATGACTTTAGTCGTACTGTTTCGGACTCATCTATGAAGATCTGTCTTGTTTCTATAGATTGTGCAGAAACTCAAATTTAATTTGTGGATAAGCATTATTCTGTCTTTTTGTTATTATCACAGAGGTTTTACTTTGATATCACAGCCAAATAAAGCTACAACATTAATTGTTTCTAGCATTAGAGAACAAGAAGGGACTGTTGAACTCGGGTAATAAGATTAAGAGAATGATGATAGAAGTTCCATATAAAACATTACATCCTTTGTGGAACATCAATTTAGTTGCCGAGAGGGACACTAGGAATGTTATTTCTTGGGCCTCTAAAGCCTCACCCTGCCCCTGGAGATTGGAGCACATTTTCAATGAAATTTTCCACATTTACAGGGATCTTCTTGTATCCTGGATATATATTTGGAGGGAGGATAATGCGGCTGCCAACTCCCTTGCTAGGGAGGGTGCCTTGCGGACTGGTGCATCCTAGGGGAACCTTTTTCGTCACCTTAGTGATTGCCGCTCTCGTTTTTTTGTACACTTGCACTCATAGATCAAAGTGTATAGCATTTTTTGAGATCCTTAGGGGGATCGATATCATTTGTTGGACCCCTCAGGGTTTTTGTACTGGGAGCCCTTTCTGTGGGTTCATTTCTTTACTTCTCACCTTTGTACCTTTTTCTTTAGTAATACAACAGTTAACAGTTTCAGAAAAATAAAATAAAATTACACCGATAATCTGATTGGGTTGCTTGGTCTAGGCATGTTTTCTTTATATGAAACTTTCCGTCATATATTTAAGTTGGATTTTGACCGAGTACCGAGTGGACAGTCTGGTCTTCTAGGGTATATTTGATGTTCATGATATGTTATTATCGTAAATAGTTATGCTACAAATATCATCCTCTATCTTTGTTTGCTTGTGCCTAAATATATCTGCCAAAACTGGCTAATTGATAAAGAGATATAAAGTGGGCTATCTCTACTAGTTCACACATTCTCTGCAATTTCAGGCACAAAAGATGGACCTCCAAATGGGATTGAGCATGCTCCTTTCAACTGTCAAGGGGCTAAAAAGAGAAGCAAGAAAAATCTTAAATGACCTTACTGTAGAATCCTTGATACAACCATTGAATCTATAACCTCCCATATATGGAAAAGTGAACTGATTTCTTAACCACCACGAACACTTGGTAAGACTAGGGTTAGTAGCTTTATGTATTCTCAATAGTTAAGAAGTAATTTGGACTACCTGGTGCTGGTCCTCGGAGGGGTGGGCTGGAAACGTCCTAACCGTTAGCTTTTTATGCACAAAGTGGCCGCTCTCAGGACTCGAACCTGTACTCTTGCTCGGGCTATCCAAGCCTTTTAGCGTCACACCAAGTGATGGCCCCTTGCTCAACCCTCCCTTCTGGAGCCTTAATTCTAAAAGCAGTTCCTGCCTTCCAGACTAGGTCCATGATTTATGATGCCCATGCTTCATTTGGATTTGATCATTTACCATCTTGCATGTGGCCATACCTGTGATTATATTTCTCTCCAGAGTTCCCAAATATCGCTACTGTGCCACATATCTAAAAGATGCCATCGTGCTTTGGAGAAGTGCTCAAGCTCTAAAAATGAAGTAGCATCTTATGATATATGAATTGGACCCATTGGGTAATTGGATCCTAGATGGACCAAAGGAAAAAATTTATGACCTTCAAAGATCAATGCTTCTACAGACCCCAACCCTGTGTATCTAGCTCCCCATTTTCGGAAATTGGACCCACTCCATTCCTTGAGGTCCAAACACCTGAAACCTTGCTTTCACTTTTCCTCCCTTACTGCTTAGTCCCTTAACACCAAACAACCGCACGTCATGAGGTCTAAATTTCCTTGTTGGCCTCTGATGCACTTCAACTATAATTCTTTGTTTATTTGCCTTAACCTTCCTACCCTAATCCCTCATCTGCTTTTTGCAAAATACCTCATAACAGACCAAATTAATCCAATATCCCTCTGCTCCATTGTGAATAAACACTATTTGAAGATCTTTTGATGCTCTGCTAATGAGACTGAGAGAGGCTTAATGGAGTGGTCAAGGTTTAGATGGCTGAAGTTAAAGTTCTCAGACTCGTCTTGTATTTTGTTTTCTCTTCGGTTAAGATCTCGACTTCCTCGTTAGTATCAATTTAGTTATCCTTCCAGGATTTAGATATTTCTTTGTGAAAACATTTCCATCCTGTCATGCAATAAGAGTTAAATCTAGCACCATTCACAGTACAGAGTTCTTGTCAAGTTTTTACTAGTTTGAGACTTTGAGCAACTGAAGGAAATTATTGAAAAGGAAAAGTGAAAAAACAACTAATGACCTTCCTAAACCCTAGATTGTCCATAAATAGCGGTCACTAACCCCTATATGTCACTATCCGTTGGTTTGACAACTTTTTTTTTGGTTTTGGGTAAATCATTGGTTTGACTTCCAAATAAATAAGTAACACTGGGGAGCCCATGTTCTAATAATCCTATAGAACCAGGCTTTCTCCTTGACCTTGTTGCTATTGATCATCTTCAGCTCTTTGATGCAAATTCCGCTCCTCTTTGATTTAGACTTTCCTCCATGGAATGCATAAGCATCTGCTGCATCTTCAAAATGTGCGAAATGAATTCTTGAAATGAACCATTGATTACCGTGAAGGTGTTTTTTTGTCTTTCGATGATAATGAATCTCTTCTAGAATTGTAGCGACAGAGGTGCTCACCCATGAATATGAAATGATCTATGCTCGATATTTCATGAGATCATAAATTTTTTGTAGTAAGATCTAATCATAAAAATAGGTATTGATAGTTATGCGATATTTTTTGCTTTGGCAGAATCTATGGAGTACATGATGAGGCAAAGGACAAGGCCTTTGAATTGGAGATGAGCTGGATCTGTGATGAGTCCAACCGCCAGCACCAGAAGGTAAGTTAAAAAGGCAGGTCATGTTTTTCTTTCTGAAAACTATGAAATGTGGGTTCATGAATGATCTATTTCCATCACTGTTTATTTGTTTTTCAAAAGAGAGTTATGGCATCTCTCTCTCTCTCTCTCTCGCTCTCTCTCTTTCTCTCTCTCCCCTGCAGTTTTAGGAGCAAATAATTTATACCTCGCAAATCTCCTTGAAAACCCCATTTATCTCGTGGTCTCACGTTCTCAATCGTGCTCCTGAAATCATCTCCCAAACGTTATCCTGTTACCTCGAGTTGTATTGGTTCAATAATTCCCCAAAAGCTTGCATAGACAGAAGGGAACAGAAATACTTGAAATTTCCTTCCATAAAAGTTCTCTTTATTTAAATTGCTTATTTAATGTATATTCATTATTGTTATTTTGTTCAGATTCCTGATGATTTATTGGAGGCAGCAAAGGCGGCTGCCAAGGCAGCACAAGACGAAATGGATGCTGATTAATTGCATTGATTTCATTTCCTTTAATTTTTGTTTTAAGTCGGAATTTTCAGCTTTGTTCAATGTCTCTTGTGAGGATTTTATAGTTCTTCAGAGATTGGAGAAAAGAAAAAAAAGAAATATTGTGGACAATGGGGAAGTAGATATTTATGAAAAGAATTGAGAAAATGGCTATGAATTTAGTCCTTTGTGTTTAAGGTGAGAAATTTGTTGGAACTGTGTTTTTTGTGTAATTTCTTATTTATTATACAAAAAATATGAGCATGATCCTAAAAAGATAAGGCTGGGATGATAATGATGATACAAAAAATACTGCATAAGCCAAACTTAATAGAGCATTAGCTCATGAGTGAAGACTCTTAAAAATTCTGTTGGTCAGAATTTAATTGATCCTGAATTTTATATATATGCTCATTGAATATTAAAAAGTTTTGAAACAGAAGCTAAAACCTACATTTCAACATGAGAGGAAATTCGGCTGTCAACTATAGATCCTATCCGTTAAGTTTTGAAAATTATTATTTGGAAATCATTCAACTGGTGAAGATAAGAGCATTTAAAGTTTTAGGGTCTAATAAATTTCCTTACATCCTTTGATCTAACGCCATTGCTCTTTCCTAAAATGGTTTTAGTGAAAGAGGAGACTCTGTATTTCTTAAATTTTCTCTCCTCTAAATGTATATATATATATATATTTTTTTGGATTTTTTCATTGGGACAAATTCCCTCGAGGCCTTGATCTAAGACTACCTTCTTTCCTAAAATGGACTTTGTGAAATGGTAGACATGTACTTATTACATTTTCTCTCTTAAATATTTAATTTTTTTGAAATTTTCAAGGACTTTTTTATTTGGATCGATATTAATGGATTGCCGAATTGAAGTCAAATAGCTCCCTCTATATAGTTTTTAGGTTTTTTTAGGAGTTTTTGGTTATGAACTAATATTGTAAAAAATGAGATCAACACGCAAACAAGAAAATATCATTCAAAACAATGAAAACCCTTAACAAAATATCATTCAAAACAATGAAAACCCTTACGAAGTCTCAAATAATGGTTGAAGTTTTACTCTTCAATTTTCATTTCATTCTCGTATTTCCGCATAAAGATTAACAAAAATTCCCCATATTGAACATAAAAACTAACAAAAAAAATTCCCCATATTGCCCGTAAGGTTCCTTATTAGGAACAATATAGGTATTTACATAAGGGTGCACTTGGTATACGGATGCATCCGTAGCTGTAGAGGTAAGGTGTACCTTCAAATTTTATCATGGTATATAATTTTGATGTAAAATGTTCTTAGGATTATCTCAAAATCTCTTTTTATATCTAACTATAAAATTTTAAATTTCAAAAATGGTTAAAATCATGTAGATCTATAAACATATGAAAATCTTGAAAATAGACGGTGTAGATAACATGTTGTAAAATGCACTATTTTTTAGAGTTAAAATCTTTTTATTTTTCATGGTCATACATCTCGATGTCGAGATGATCATTAAAAGGGTTTTCCAACATAAAACTACCTTTTCCGATGGATTTTTGAGGTGCGTCCGTAGTTCTACATTATAAGGTTGCATCCTTATATAAACTTTTTCCGTTACATAATTTGTCATAAGGCTTTAGGTGTCAAATGACAAAACTGCCCATAATTCTAAACCTTAGGGACCATCCTAGCCAGTACATTATACCCATACTCCATAATTCGTATCAAAGCCAACAAATTTAATTTCTAGTTTAAATAATATTTTTCCTGTTCTTTTACTTCAATTTAGTTTAGTTTTAGGTTTTTCTATGTTTTTTTTGGTTTTTGCATGATTTCAAGCCGGCTCTGCGATGATTTATAGGGAGAAATCTGTCTCTACATATCAAACTTTTTGCATGTTGTAATTCGAAGTAACCCGCTATTTCTATTTCTACCAATAATTTTAATTGTTTGGTTTAAAAGATAAATTATAGAGAATTTCTACTGAGATTCTCCCGAATTTGGACGTAAACAAAAGGAACAACACAAAATTTTCTGTCTGCTTGTTTCTATTCCTAACCAGGAAAGAGGGGTGAGTTTGTTGTTGTCATTAAGCAGTCTTGGTCAAATAACTTAGTTCCGAACCCGCCATTGTCCAAATTGAATAGATTTTTGGTATCACATGACTAGGAATCTATTTTTCAAAAGGTTTTGGTCAAAGCTCTACCACAATGGACTTCGGATCATGTCCCTATTATGTTAGACACCGACCACTATTTCAGTTTGAACTAATGTGGTTGAGCGAGAAATCATTGCGGAATGAAGTCCGCTCAATATGGACCGATACTATTACTGATGGGTGGTGTGGATTTAGGATTTCTCATCAGCTTAAAACGATGAAACATAGACCTAAACAATGGGCAAAAGCTAAATTTTGGAATCTGAAGAGTAGGATAACCGGGGTTTCAAACAATTTGGAAATGTTAAATTAATTGAAGCAACGTTAAGGTAGTCTAAATGAATATTAGAGCTCTCAAAGGGAACATCTGAAATTTGAATCAGCGGATCTTTTAAAGGAGGAGGAAGTTTATTAGTTGCAAAGGTCTAGACCTAAGTGGATTAAAAAGCGTGACAATAATATTACATATTTCTACGTCATTTATAATTCTTGATGAATGTCGAACACTATTACTTCCATCCAAATCCTTGGGGGCTTTTGTCTCATTTTTCCAAAGTGCCTTCACTTCAAAGCCGTTCTATTAATCATTTTCCTTTTAAAAGGCCATCTTCTATAAGTGTATTGTATCTGGAGAGACCTTTTTCATTGGCAAATATTGAGGAGGATGTCTTTAGTCTTCCTCAGCATAAGGCGCCGGTCCAAGATGGATTTCTGATGGCCTTTTTACAAGAGTTTTGGGAGATATTGAAAGGAGAATTTTTGTTTTCTTTTCAGCAGTTTTATGAGGAATTCGATGGCTTCTACAGCTTTAAATTCCACATTTATTGCACTGATTTTTAAAAATCTATACATGGAATCCTTCAAGGATATTAGACCCATCCGCCTGTTTTCCTTTACGTACAAGATTCTTGCGAAAGTTGTAGTTAATAAACTCAAATGGTGATTGGTGAGGTCATCTAGGCCCCACAATCAACCTTATTAAAAACAAATTTTATTATTCAAGCTTCTCAACTCTGAACAAAAGCAATTTTAGATACTTTAAGATGTATTGTCAAGCACATCGAAATAAAATTTTTAAAAATAACTTCTTAAATGATAATTGGAGTCCTTTAACTCATAATTTTTTGAAGAGTTTCCCATGAATGATATTTTCCATGTTTTTTATTGCCTTTATTCATGCGCATGTCATTTGTATTCATAGCGTGTGGCTTATTTAAGACTTCATGTAACTTCCCTTGATCAAGTCATCCTTAATCAAGTTCAAGCTTATTGTCCACCAAACTTAATTTAATTTGTGCTTATCATAGTTACCAAGACTAGACCAGACTAACCGTCCAACTGGTTGGACCGTTGGTGCGTTAGTCAATCTGATCGAGAGCCAAAATTAGATTTGATAGAAAATCGATCAAAATAACTAATTTTGATTGGCTGGGCCTACTGATTTCAATTGGTTCAAACGGCCAAATAAAGTGGCCAAATTTTTTTCTAATATATCATATATTTTTTAACTATTATTTAAATTTTTTAATATTTTTAAAAGCTAGTTAAGCTGCCTCACAAATAGTAATCAGACCAATTTTATCTTGACCAAACCCTTCACTAGTCCAATGACCAGTCCGACGATCTTGATAACACTAGTGCTAATAGCTACTTCGGTTCTAGAAGGTAGCAAGGGAAGCGCAAATGCGTCACCATGACTGCCAGCCCAACAAAGGCAAAGCAAACGAGCCTTTGATTTCAGTTGTTTGAGAAAATACAGTCATCTCACCATATTTGCAAGATTGCTACTGGTTTTATTTCATTAGTATTTTGAACACTTCTTGATCTGAACTCTCTCTCTCTCTCATTTCTATTTTGGTTCTTGAAGTCACTTCTATCGGTGCAAATTTTTTGAGAAACTGGCACTTACTATTATTGGAGAATGAAGCATCCACTCCAAATTTAAGACTCCCCTATAACTTTGTTTTTAAGCTGTTAATTCTTGACTCCCCTGTAATTTGACACATATTTTCTGCTAAACTGGTTGGTTCCCAGACCCGCCTGTGAGATCTTCAGTGTTCTTTCGTGGATGTTGGTTTTTGGGCTCTCTCTCTCTCTCTCTCCTCTACCAAGCAAAGAACCATGGAACTTAACATATCATACACTTTAAACTGACATGGAAGAGTAAAGATAGACCTTAATGCGACGGAAATATTCATGCTTCAGAACCAATACCCAACAAACCAAAGCCACAACCATGAGACAATTCCACATTCTTTTTCCTTCTTGCTTACGATTCATGAACGAAAAAATGTTCCTGCCTTTGATAAACCAACCAATCAATTTACACAATTTTTACACAATGGATCTAAAGTCAGCGAAAATACACCATGTTTGCCTAGGTGGTTCCATCAATGAAGCTTAGAGGCCTAAGCCATGATAGTGCACTTTGTAGACACCTGCAAGACAATTCCATCAAATCCTTAATTGCCAGAGACTCTGCAACGACACTTGAAAGTTAAAAGCAATAACCAGATCAAACTTAATGATCCAGAAACCCAATAGATAGACAGGAGAACTAACACATATCTACCTTTTACTCGCTCTTCTTGATCTTGGTCGTCTTATCTACTTGTTCTTTTTGAGGCTGAGCAAGCCACCTAAAGATCCAGACCCCCAAGAGTGTTGCCTCAATGGGAGCAAGCCAATACACATACAAATGCTCCTTTGTATAGTGATCGCCTCGAGCATGTGCCCAAGCAAATGCCTGCCAAGATTGCATTACTTGTTTACCCAAACAAATATTTTCATAATATATATAAAATATTTGTCTAGCCAAATAAATCCAATGTATTAGGGAGAAGTGTAGTCCATTGGAGAGGGTGGAACCTCACTATCTCCATCACCATCCATCATTTCATTGGATGGTGATGACCCAATCTTCATTGGTTTCGCATAGTCCATTTCAGCATAGTTTCCCTTGAACAATTTAGGCAGGAATGGTTTTATGTACTAAAATGAAAAACTATAAACATGTATTTCTTTTCCTTTTTCTGTTTTTGGTTATGAATGTGTTGTGTACAATAAAATAAGAAACTACCAATATGCCTCATTAACCCATGATGAGAAGTAAAGAAGATATCAAGTGCTTACAGAGGCTGGGTTCATGCTTCCTCCAGTTAAATCAGAACCAAGAATTTGGAGAGAGAGTTTGAAGATACTTGAAATCCATGTTTTCATGAAGAAATTGTGTGCATCTTTCTTTGAGAGCCAAAGTGAAACCATCACAATAATGAAGCTGAGAACCCCTTCTGTCAGCATTCCCTTGTGCATATCCACATTCAGGCGATAACCATAACCCACTTGGGGCAAAATATGGACCACAAATTTAACCCCAAGCAAAGAACCAAATGCCTGTAATAAACCATAAAACAAAACTTTTAGGCACAAAGACATTTCTGGCCTAAAGTATAATCATATCGTGCAGGTAGCTATTGTCTGTGTGTCTGAACTCTGAACTTTTCTATATCATTAATCCTCTTACTTCTCGTCAAATAAATGCAAAACCACTAAGTCTTTTAGGACCTGCCAAACTCTAATGTTAATCGAAGAAAAAGCCGAAAGATTTCGACATTGTAAACTTGTTGTAAACCAGATTCTCATGTTTTGAAGGAATACCTGATATCTTATGACTTGTCAACATGGACACCGCTTTTTCAATATGTCTGACTGCCAAAAATAAAAAGAAGCAAAAGAAAATAAAAGAATTTAACTAGACATCTTCTACTTAAAGAGAAAAACCCCATGAAAAAGGAAAGAGAGGGAATTGAATTCATGAGTTATGACAGGGTACGTTATTCCTTATGATCCAACCAATGTGCAAAAAAACGGAAAGAAAAAGCATGTGATTTTTAAGTACCATAATGTTATGGATAGTTATTTCTCATGTTTTTTAGTATACACTCGAAGTTAATATCAACAACATAAGAACACTCCATAGAATAGAGTAATTATGGCCGCTTCATCAAAATTCTACGAAATTGAGACCTAGACAACAAACTCACCAAAAGAAAATACCTTTACTGTGAACTGATATACAAGTTTAGTAAATGGTAGTGCCAAAGAACACAAAACACAAATGGAATTAGTAGATTCTGGTCAATTCCATGGAGCTCACTTTCCAAGGTTTTGTTGTTCTTTTTTAAAAGAAAAGAAAAAAATTACTGTGAGAACTGGTGGGAACTGGGCAAAATGGTGAATCTTAGACCTGGACTCACACCCCACTGGTCCCGAGCTGGCTTGGCAATTCTTAAACACCATCAGTATCACAAAAGAGAGACTGATTATAACTAGCCATCATGATACCAATGGGCAAACAAATCACAAATAAGCAAGTTGAAAAGCCAAAAAGTTACAAAACCCCAAGGACAACAAAAAATTAAAAGAAAAATAAACAAACAAGATTATGTATTTACTGTTAGTATAAGCTGGTCACAATTATTTTCAGCTCAATATGAAATCCAATAGATTAAAGTGTGTGACAACATTCGAGAAATTTTATTTTAGACTTTGTATCCAATCAAATATCAATTTTACATCTAGTGGTCAATAATGTTTGCCACCTCCTTTTTAATCAATGGTCAATAATGTTTGCGACCTTCTTTAATCAAAAGTCAACGGTGTCATTGTATAGATTTCCCAAACCAAAAAATGGGATCTTACTCACTAATTAACCCATTCACTATAATCGAAGAATTATCATTCAACAGTCATATAATCATCTCGAAAACCAAATTTCGGCCAAAGTACGATCAATCAAGAGCAATTCTAATAGGGAATAACCATTGATATAAAGATACCAAACTGAAACAAGTAGTAGTAAACATACCTGAACTGGAATCCTGGCCACTATAGTGAGAAGCAAGGCATGATAGCTACCAGTAATGGCAGGTAAGAGAACAGTGAGGGGATTATAAGACCCACCTCCAGTTAATTTCCCAAACCATGCAAACAAAAACATGGCAGAAATGGCAAGAACCCATCTCAGAATTTCCCCTTTGGGTTCAAACCCTAACCCTAGAAATTGGACCACAAAAAGCTTAATGGCGGCCCCTGAACATACCCACAAGAAGGAAATAATGAAATCACAGAGAATCAGATGGACGCTCCTGTCCATTATTCTCAAAAACTTTGGCTATAGAATTGAGTGAATTATGGGGTTTTCTGGGTAATGCTCATGCCTGGCGATTCAAACAGACTGCTTTTCAACTTTAGAGAGAGAGAAAATTTGTGCAAGACTTGACAACGATGGTCTTCGTCAAAGTCATTTTGAATTTAATTTCTTGACATGTGAGTTCAATCTCTCTCTCTGAATTTTCCTCTGTAAAAAATATAGATATGATTTCAGCCACCATATGAGAGAGAGACGAAGGGCAACACTCTTTTTCTGCGTAGGCTCCCGTAATGGAAAGACTGCGACAGGCCTACGAGGCTCCGGTGTGAAAGGAGAAAGCATCCGGGCTGGGCCTGGGCCTGGGCCTCTGCCTGGGCCTTGGCCTGGGGTGGCAATGGGTTGCGTTCGGTTGCACCGGATCCGAATAGCAGTCAGGTCCAAAACTTGGACCCTACCCGTACCCATCGGGTCTTGGGTCGACCTGTCGGATTTTGGGTATGGTCGAATCTATTGCCACCTTATGATTATGGGATTTTTTTTTTTTTTACTCTTTATTTATCGGGGTATATACGTAATGACTATGAGTTTTTTTTTTTTTTTGGCCAATAATACTATAAATATCGTCAATATTATGACAATATAAACACCTAGCGAGTATCTAAAGACACATTGATTATCATCGTATAGCCCTTGACTATGGGTAGGGGTTGGGTTCAGCTAAATCTGAACCAGACCCGAATGGTATTCGGGTCTAAAATTTTGACCCGTACCCTGACCAGAGGTTGGGTGTACCGATGGGGTCTTGGGTCTAGTCGGATCCATTGCCACCGTTGCTATCGAGGCTTGGGGCAGGGCAGTAGACAATAGCGGCGAGTAAGTTCCTAGGGATCCTATCCCACGCACGGACCCGAAATAATATTCCGTTTGAATTTAGTTCAATGGGTTGAAACAAAAAACGATAAAAAAAGTTGCGGTTAGCATGCGGCCAAACCCGCACATGTAAAAATACGGGCCTCTTAATAAATTTATTTTTGCCATAGAATTCAATCCTAATTTTTAGAAAATATATAATCTTTAACATGGAGAACATGAATATGGAAAAATAAAATAATTTTGAAAACTAAACGTAATAATTCTATGGAAAAAGTTTATATAGAGTCGAGGCTCTAAACAATCAAATTAGAGCACACCTCGAAAATAATTTCAATGCCTAAATGTCCTCAAATTGCATGGAGATGAGAAAAAAATGGATTTCAAGTTTTGGAAATAGCATATATTGTAATGTATTTTTGGATCGTCAATTTTCATGATTTTCATGGATATGCTCAATCTACATTATTTTTGAAGCTTTAAATTTTATAATTAGATATGAAAAGATATTTTAAGGCTTTCGCAAAGATTTTTGATATTGAAACCACATTTCTTGGCACTATTTGAAGGTGGACAATCACTTTTTTTTATTATAGATCTACCACCGGACTTTCAATGAGTAATCTCAATATTCTATGCATTACTGAATAGTCTCATTTTTCAATTATTCAACCATTTCATTTTACCAAGTTCAACGATAGTCATATTAGTCAATATTTAATCAGTCACATTTTTTTCATGAAATGAGTTAGATTGGTATATTTCTGGATATGGTAAAATCATTATATTAGATGGAATAAGTACATTAAGTACCTTGTATCAGAATTATAGTTAGCAAGTCGGGGACTATCAATAAATCTGTTCACCATAAAATCAGAAACAAATGGTTTTATTTTAAAAAGTCGGATGAAAAAATCGAATAAAAAATACAGATCGGCAAAAATACTTCATATAAAGATATCGTTAATATATTGGATTAGGCTCAAAAAATCGGAGTAAAAAAATTGGATAAATTTATAATATTAGAAATTTTAAAATTCTAAAAAATAAAAATTATGTCAAAGCCATCAATAACTAATTCATCTATAAAAACTTTACTAAACTAATATAATTAAGTCAATTGATGACTCTTATGCAATCATCTAATATTAAATACATAATTAACTAGTATATACCAAAAAAATTTATACTATATAAATCTACCCCTTAAATACTTCAAGAAACATCATACCTACTTATTACGTACTAAAAACAAATATACTATATAAATTTATTCATTAACCCCTTAAATACTTTAAGAAACATCATACTTACTTATTACGTACTAAAAACAAATATACTATATAAATTTATTCATTAAATATTTTAATATGGTGACAAATATACTATATAAATTTATTTATTAAATATTTAAATATCACACTTTTTTGGTACGTATAAAAAAAATTAACGACTTTTGTTTTTAACTATAGTATGGTGACTATGGTCACTCCATAACTATAGTTAAAGTTTTATGAATTTCTTCAATTGAAAAAGACGCAGGTAAAAATTTGGGTTTCTTGGTGTTTACGGTTTAGAGAGAAGGAAGAGAGAGAAGAAGGTTACGGTTTAGAGAGAGAAGGAGGAAGAAGGAAGAGAAAAAAATAGGGCTGGGCTCATAGCCATCAGGGTTTATAGAGAGAGGAGAAGAAGGAAGAGGTTATGGGCTTCACAAACCCTAATTGAAGAGGCCTTAGCTGATTTTTAGAAAGAGAAAAGGAAGATGGGATGCTAATTTGAGATAGTTTGAAGAGGGCCTTCCTCTCTGATTTGGAGTTTGGGATGTTGTTTGAGAGAAAGCCCTTGTCAAGAGGCCTTAATTGATTTTTAGAGAGAGAGAAAAGGAAGAGGGTTTTCTATTTCCTTGGGGAAACAGCAAGCAGAGCTGAAGATTAGGTTTGGGGAACTAATCCTATATGTACAATTGCTTGCTCCTGTAAGTTTACAATTTACACTATATTGTTTATCTTTATTATCACATAATCAAAAGCAAAATATTGATTACTTGGTCCTGTAGTCACACTCTCTGCTTCTCATTCATCAGTAAAATACTATGTTTTGAGCTCTAATTTGTGCCATAAACAATATTTTCATAAAAACAATGATCACAAATAATCACAGAAATCTGCATGTATGTGATTTTTTTTACACAATGATTTACTTTACAAAATGATTTGCTATAAACAGTATTTCATTTACACAATGATTTTCCATAATAACACTGAAATCTGCATCTATTTCTTTAAGTTTTTTTAAAAAAGGAAAGAAATTCATACCTTCAATCTGCAAGTGTGGCTTTGAAGAACATAGTGGGAATAAAAATTTCTATTTTAGGTTTTTTTTTTGAAATAATATTTTTTTTTCAAAAGCATGAAAGTAGCAATAGCTGCAATACACAAAACAGGAAAAAAAATTATCTTTCAAAAAAACATTATAGGTAAAAAAAGATGCGTTTTTTTGGCCGGATTTAAATCGTATTATGAAAAAGCGTGTTTTAAACGTTTTTATGACAACACGACTTTTTCCCGACCTTTTAAAAAAGTCGCCATTTAAAACTGTTTCCATAAAAACGGCTATTAAATGGCGATTTACTGACTATGGTTTCGATGCAACAACAAGAGGTTATTTGTATCAAGTAGTTTTGTTGGTCGGGAAATCGGTCACATTTTATTCATGATATGAGTTGGATTGGTATAATTCTGGATACGGCAAAATCATTCTATTAGATCGAATAAGTACATTAAGTACCTTGTGTCAAAATTGAGAACATTTAGACTGTTAGTTTCAATTGTTTTTAGATGGACAACCTATTTGCATCCGTCTGTGACCGGTTTCTATGCGGCCAAGCCTGCATATGTGAAATGCTGGCCTCTTAATAAATCTATTTTTGAGAAAGATTTTAAGATTTAATTTTTAAGGATATGTAATCTCTAACATGGAGATCATGAATATGAAAAAATAAATAAGTTTTAAAAACTAGAAATAATAATTCTAATAACAAAACATTTGGACAGTTAGTTTCCATTGTTTCTAGATGAAACACCTACTTGCATCCATCTTTAAGATGAATGCTGACCGCATATGTAGAAATGCAGTTCAGCCCGCATGAAACAATTTTCCAAAAATCAAACCAGAAGGGGCTCTCTCACTCCGATCCGATTTCTATGCGGCCAAGCCCGTGTATGTAGAAATGCGGGCCTCTTAATAAATCTATTTTTGAGATGGATTTTAAGACTTAATTTTTAAGGACATGTAATCTCTTACATTGAGATCATGAATATGAATAAATAAATAAATTTAAAACTAAAAATAATCAATCTAGTAAGAAAATATTTTGACCATTAGTTTCTATTGTTTTAGATGAAACACCTACTTCCATCCATCTTTAAAATGGATGATTTACACTATCTAGACCGCATATGTAGAAATGAGGTCCTGCCTGCATGAAACAATTTTCCCTCTCACAAAACCCTCGCCTCTCACTCTCAATATCGTCTTCTCTCACAAATCCTCCCTCGCTATTCTCTGTGTGTCCTCTCTCACTCTCACAGATCCACAAGCGAGGATCCATTTGCAAGCCTCATACAAAATACCTCATCTTTTTTCAAGTGAGGATCCATTTGCAATTTTTAATCTTTTTCAACAAGGTACCTTTTTTTTTTTCGCTGGTGTTTATTTTCTTTGTTTTTTTTTTTTTGCTAGTTTATCTTCAACACAGTGTAAAGATTCTTATTCAACAAGGTTATGGGTTTTATCTTATGATTTTCCGGGATTTTTCCTCTAGGCGGTGCTGATTTTTTTAATTACCAATGCAAATTTTTTTTTCTATGATTTCCCCATGGAAAATTTTTGCTTTTTTATTTTAGCCTGATTTTATTGAGTATAGGAGCACAATTTGATCTCTAGAAAAATGTTGTAATGCTTTCTTTTTGTTGTATTTTTCTGTTTTTTTTCTCTTTTTGTTTCTTGCTGGTTTTTTGTGTAGTATGGAAGCACAATTTCCGCTTTATAGTACCCATGCGAAACCCTATTGCAGAGAGTAATTCCATTTTTAGTGAGAGAGAGAGAGAGCGACTCCCATTGTTTCTGCAATTTATGGAACAAAAGCTCAATCCAAGTCTGCCATTTTTTTGAAACTCCAAGGTCTGTTTTCTTCACCATAGCCATTGGTCAAAAGCTTTACAGGTCAATTTCATGTTCTTTTGGTTATGAATTTTATACCTTAAAACTTTCATTTTTGAAATTTTAGTGCAGTTGATTGTTTTCCGAAATATCAGTGAGGTCCTCATTTTCTTGCATAGAAAATTGTGGTAAACTAATTAGTTTACTGTCTTTCTATTTTTTGAGGGATTTCTTGTAATTATAGCCTTGATTTGATTTCTTTTATTTGAGGGATTTTAGAAAATTCATTAATTTTGAAGGTCGAAAATTTGATGAGTTTTGATGCGAAGGCCCCAGCAGAGAGTTTAAAATAGTCTAAATATTTGAAGTTTTAATTATTACGTTAAATTTCACTTTCAATATTTTCTTTTGATTGATATCATGTACTTCAATAGAAAAAGTAATGAACTTGCATTTCAGATTAAGTTCACACTCTTCCCTGTTATTCGTGACTGATTGCTTTGACATTATGTTATGGGTATCGATGATTAGTGTTCGGAGAAAGTTCCATGCAGCTATCTTTTGGTCGCACTGATAAGGCCTCTGATAACAGTTGTTAGATATATTATTTGACATTGTAGGTTCCCTTTTGAATATTGTTAATAGCTTGCAACAGGAGGAAGTATATCTTTCATCCAGTATGTTCAGGTTCATTCTTGTTGTTCATGGGGGAGGTGTTGGGGCCCCATCCTATGTAGGTTACTTTGGTAATATTTGAAAAGGGATACTGAACTTAGTTGGCATGATTCTTTTAATAATGATGGTTGCCATTGTCGTTAGATGCCTGGAAACCGTTCTTTTCGTTTTAATGCATCTGGAGTCATGGCTTACACCTATATCATGCCTATTCAATTAATTGAACTAAACTTATGATCTAAACCATCCAATTTTTTTTTAAAATAGTATAGATTGAATGTTTTAAACAATCATCTTAATTGGATAGACGTTGATATCAAATCATCTATATTGCAATAGAATGATTAAAAGTAGGTATTAATCGATTCTGGGAGATAGTTTACCAAAAATTCCAGACATGTGAACCAAACATGGGGAAAAACAGGATTGGAAAATTCTTGCACAGGGAACTGTTTACATATGAAAACTGTTTTACGTATGCAAATTGTTACACACATGAACCAAACGAGCTATGGCCTCATTGGGGTTATGGCCCTTAATAGAGTAGAATGGCGGACCAAAATTCGTGTAGCCAATCCCAATTAGTTGGAAAAGGCTTTGACGATGACGATTATGGTAGAACTCTGCTCTGTTACTAATGAAAGCAGAAAATCAGAGCCTAAGTTAAGCACCGATCAAGAAGCTCTAAGAGGGAATGTTGTTATACTGGGAATCGTAGAAGCCTAGAGTTTTGTTTTGAACTTCGAGAGAGAGAAGGAAGTCTTGAAAGTTCTGTGTATATATTTTTCTGTGTGAATCTTCTCTCTTATCCGCTCTGTGTAAAAGAGAAGTCTATTTTTCAGGTGCCTCAATGACCTGTTTAAAAATGATCCTCCAGAATAATAGGCTAATGCTTCTCTCTTTAACCACAAACTGTTGAAATCAAGTATTATCCGAAACTAATTTAGAAAATTATTAATCTCTGCAATATATATTTGAACACTTATCTCTTAAATAAATATGTTACTCTTGCTGTCCTGGGATTCTTCCCCTAAGAATAGGTGTGCCAGCATGAGGCACCATGGTCACATGCCAACAAGTGGTTCATTTTATGTTGATGTGATGCTTTCACATGTATTTTGCGCATGCTTGAAGCTTGATTATTCAGTTTTCCAGGACTTAGTATTATACTTTTGATGATTTCCTATTTCATTTTATTGATTTACAGTTTGGCTTTGGATTTTGTAGAAATTTATAGGACATATGGAAGCTCTCACAGCATATCGCCACTTGCTCAAAGCTATTGATAAACATATTGGGAAAGATGGCAATAAGAGACATTTTAGGGATTTTGTGGTTCAAGAGTTCAGAAAAAACTCTAAGATTTCGGATCCTACTGATATTCAACAGAAGATAAAACTGGCGAAGGATTACATGTTTCTCCTCACCAGTGTTCATCATCATCAGGTAATGATCTAAGACTCTTTTAAGTTCTGCAATTTGCCAAAAAAAACATGTTCTTTTTCTGGGTAAATAAAAAAGTTTAAATTTGGCAAAGAATTAGATACATATCTGTTATTTTTGTTGCTTTCCGGTCTTTGATTGTTACCTGATACTTTAACACATTTGTTTGACTCCGAGTTCTTATGCAAAAAGGAACACTAGCCCACTAGTAGATGGCCCCTAACTCCAATTTTTCGGCCCAAATTAGCTTTGAAGGCTGTTAATTTAGAGTTCACACTTAGAATCACCCAAGTTTCAAAATCCTAGATTTCATTCCAGGCTTTCCCTCTAATTTGAGGTAACTGGGGTGGAAGCGGAATTTTCTTGCAAGAAATCTGCAAGCTAGAAAAGTGGTGTGCTCCTTGATCGTGGCTTCTTAGCCTCATTTGCAAAGATTGCTCAGATGTAACTTTTCACGCTAAACCTGTGATCTTCACAAATATATGTGCTTCTAATTCAGTGATTGTCAGCCTCATTTGTGGAATCTTCTTCTCTCATGATGTCCTAATATTGAACTGAGCCCTAAATTCTTAAATGGCTTTGTAGGATCTGCTGTTCTCTTACAATATCGCTGTGGATAGAGAAGGTGAAATGAAGAGGACCATAACAAAGTCAGCTGCTAGTGTCGGTCTTCAGCTTCCTGATGTCTATCAACCATGAGAGTTTCTTTACTAAGGTCCTGGTTTTTGGCATAAATCTTTCTTTCAATGTCTTCTTGTTCATATAGAGCTGATGGTTGAGATTCGAACATTGCAGACGTAGAATTGGAAATCCATTGTTGATGCTTTTCCTTTCTAGAGAGAGCCAAAGCACATGGCTCTAGGGTGTTCTTGCCCAATTTCTAATGTACGAGAAAATAATGAGGGTTCATTCCAGATCAATTTTGATAGTGGAGCCTTTGTTTCAGAGGAGTGATTAATTAAGGTGACCAACTGATGGTGTTTTCTTGGAGTAGTTACGCATGCAAGCCTCTTTCTTTTATGAGTAATAAAAAATTTTATTCGCCATTTTGGTCAATGTTATTTTTCTAGCCAGTGAACAAAGTGGCCAAAACCTCATCTTTAAGGGCAGTAATTGTTTTATCGTATTTTTCTGCTCTTTCCACTGTCTCTCTGTATTTTTCTACTCATTTGGTTCCCTATGTCTCTCTGTGAGTACTTGCATATGGGTGTTTGTTTGCGTGCATGGCTCTGTGGTCTTTAGCTCTGTGGTCTTTAGCGGCATCTTGACATTCTTAAATCTTTTATAAGTTCATAACTGTGTTGAAACTGCTCAAGTTCTTAGTCCATTATTTCTCCAGATATCAGCTTGCCTATGCACAAGCAATAAATGCCTCTTTATGGTCGATAATTTGTGCTAATTCTTGAGGGGGGGCAAGGTGTATATGATATTTGAGCAGGGCTGCTATCAAATCATTATGCAGGGATATTTTTTTCATTTGTACTAGAAGTCAAGAATCATGCTCTTTCAGTACATACAGTGATCAGCCAATCAACAAAGAGAGAACCATGCGACATCCCCGTTTCTCTCTCTATGTCATCAGAAAAACTCTTAAGCTGCGAACAGATTTACAACCCCACCAAAAACAGGAAGAAACACAAAACACTTGATACAAAAGAAAACTTCATAGCTGAAATGATACATACAGACACTGACTCTTATATACGAGTTAATCTGGCTCAAATAATACCAAAACCGTGAAATTAATACACGAGCTGAGGCTCAAACTCTGCAAAATCAACAGACCCGGACTCAATTGGGGGCATCAAGTAAGCAGCTAAAAGCTCAGAAGCCAGAGCTGCAATGAGAGGGACCCTCTGTATGTTCTTGACCAGGGCAGGAGCATCACTCTCACCCACTGCAAGAAGCTTTTGATTGATTTCCACCATTCTGTCGAGCTTCCTCTTGAACTCTGGGTTCTCAACATCGAGCACAGCTGGGAAAATCCTAGCAGTTGTGCGGTTTGTCTGCAAAGCCACAAGTTTGTGAAAGGTAATGACTATGTGTCGCTCTCTTTCTAGATATGGCAAGTTTGTAGGATTCTAGATTGAAGTTGGTGAAAGAGTATGGAGCATTTGTTGATTTGCTTTCCGGACATGGATGAGTTCCAACAATTTGTGCCGGAAGTTTATGAATGGGCATGGTTCATTAGCTCCTCTTGTCTCTCTAGGTATGGCTGTGGCCAACTCCAAATGTTTTTGCTGGAAGTTGGCAAATGGGTATGGTGGAGTTGCTGCTTTCATTCGCTTTACGTAGATTAGATAATTTTGTCAGGGGTTTGCGACCAGGTATGGGTTGTTTCCATTTTCTATGATTCTTATCCGTGTATGTCTCCATGTTCAAGTAATTTTGGCTAGAATTTCGCAAATGAATATGGATCATTTCATGCTTTCTGTGTTCAAGTGTTTCTAGTGGCAAAACAAGTATGGGTCTTCTGAAGCCTTTAACCCAAAATTCTCTCTCTCTCTCACTGGTCTGGTGTGTGCTTGTGCGTGTGTTTATCTCGATTCTCTGGTTTGGTGTGTGCTTGTGCGTGTGATTACCTCGATGATAACATGCATATCAAACTCCTTGGTGTTAAGGCCAATGCCTTCATAGAAGGCAGTTCTCTGGCAGTCATTCAGGTACATTGTCACATACACCTGCACCACATATCGCCGGGAAAAAAAAAAAAAAATATTGTGAGAAAGATGTCATAAATGGAAGAGATTACAAGACTATAAAAGGAAACATAAAAAATGTGAAAACCCAAAAAAACAAAAAAATCAGAGAACAAAAAAGTGGGAAAGCTAACAGGAATTGTTCTGAGGACAGCAATTGTGTTTCAACCCTCTTTTTGTACTTGGTAATGAAAAAAACAAGGGTAATTTATCACCAATACCTTAGATTCAAACTATTTAACCCTAAGCTCATTTTCTTTATCTAAATTCAAATGGCTGTAATCAACTTTCAAAGAGTCCATCAAAATCCACATCAAAAGGAGTTTTAAAACCTATGAATTTAAACCCAAAATGAAATGTTAAATAGTTTAACTTTTAAAAATGTTTTGATATTTTACCAATTTATTCAAGGGTGCAGTTGGCATACGAATGCATCCGTAGAGGTAAGATGCACCTTCAAATTTTATCATGGTATATAATTTTGATGTAAAATGTTCTTAGGATTATCTCAAAATCTATTTTTATATCTAATTATAAAATTTTAAATTTTAAAAATGGTTAAAATCAAGTAGATCTATAAACATATGAAAATCTTGAAAATGGATGGTGTAGATAATATGTTGTAAAATGTACAGACTTAAAAGTCTTTTTATTTTTTATAATCATACATCTCAATGTCGAGATGATCAATTAAAGGGTTTTTCAACATTAAAACTACCTTTTTCGATGGATTTTTTATGGGCATGCGTAGTTCTACATTATAAGGTAGCAACCTTAAATAAACTTTCTCCATTATTCAATAAATAACTTAAAAACACCATCATTACAAAAGCCATACAAACTTGCACACCATACACATACTACCAATAAATAAGACACATACAAGAGAAAGAAGTAAAGAATCAATGTGAAAGTGGAGTAGGAAAGAAGAAAAACTTACAGACAAGCAGAAGAAGCGAGACCAGAGCTTGGCCTTCCAGTCATTCAAGAACTGAGGCTGAGCCTTCATTAGAGCAGAGAAGAAGTCCCCATGCCTATTCTCATCTTGGCACCAATTCTCAAAGTACTTGAAAATTGGGTAAACTTGGTACTCTGGGTTTTCCTTGAGGTGCCTGTAAATTGTAATGTATCTCCAATACCCGATTTTCTCTGATAAATAAGTCGCGTAAAATATGAATTTTGGCTTGAAAAATGTGTATTTTCTCGCTTTCGTGAGGAATCCGAGGTCCAACGCCAGATTAAAATCAGATAACCCCTTGTTCAAGAACCTGCAAACAGTAATTCAACATTGTGATTTTTATTTATTTTTTTTAATTCAGGGGAGTTTTTTTTTTTTGTTCTTTATTTTCTTAGCAATGAATTTGTGGGTAATTATTTTCACTTACCCTGCATGCCTTGCTTCGTCCCTTGACATCAGAGAGAAAATCTCAGCCACCACAGGGTTGGTTTTCTGTTGAATCAATTCTCATACGTAAATAGAAAAATATAAAAAATTTCCCCAAATAAAAAAATATTGAAAAATTTATCCCAAAAGAACCAAAATTTCCAAAAATCTTCCCAAAGAAAAAAAATGTAAAGTAAAAGATGGGTTTTTGCCGAATTTTCTACCATATACAAGAGAAACGTCATACTTAATTATAGAGGAAGTTTATACAAGGTGTCAACCTCGAAGTGAGACACATTAAAAATTTATCTAAAAAAATTATTTTGGTGCTGAAAAATCCTCTAATTGATCACCTTGACCTTGAGTTATATAGGTGTGAAAAAAAAACGAAAAAAAAAAGATTTAAGTCTTAAAAATAATGCATTTGTAACTCATTACTAAACCATCCATTTTCAAGATTTTCAAAAATTTATAGATTTGCTCGATACACTATTTTTCAAAGTTTTAAGTTTATGATAACATAACTCATCTTCCCGCAAGATTTAAAAGTATGTCTTATTTTGATTGTTTAAGGTGGAGGCCTTGTATACACGGCACCCACTTACTCATTCATGTATCTTTTGTTTAAGGTGGCCTCCTTATATAACCACACCCATTTATTTATTCATCTATGTATGTTTAATTGAGTACCAATCAATCCCATCTTTTTTTTTTCTTTTTTCTTTTTTTTAAATCTACCAATCAATCCCATTTTTTTTTTAAAAAATCTAAAATGGGTGAGGTTCGCATAAGATGTCAACCTAATACTATTCAAATATGGTGCACTTCAAAACTACGCCAAAAATGCAGTTTCGGTGCCACAAAGCCTTGACACAATATTGCCCCCAATTATTAAATTTAAAGTTCCAGAGATGGTGACGATCAAACAAATCTATAAACACTGGAAATTATTAAAAATGGATTGTCTGAATAATACTTTAGAAGATGAACTATTTTTAGTACTCAAAATTCCTTTTTTTGTTTTTTCATGGCTATGAATCTCGAGGTCAAGATCGATTGACCTTTTAAAAACAACCATTTCGGATGGGTTTTTTTTTTTTGGTGATGACACTTTGTATAAACTTTTTCCATCAAAAGAATCTCAATAACCTAATTTAGATTAAAATAGTTCTCCACTTTGCTTATTAAAATTTACTGACATCGCCTTCCAGGTACCTACACTATAGCATTGCTACAAGGGCATTTTAGTAACTTTTTTCGTCGATAATAAAAAAAGTTCAACCCAAAATGTATTTACACAGAGAGATCCCCTACCTTAAGGCGACGACCAAGCTCCTTGTAAAGAAGAAATCCTGAGAACTCAGCAGTACAGGACCTCTCCAGAAACTCGACAAAGATTTGGCGAAGCGGCCCCTGAATTTTATCAGCCGCTTCCTTGAATTCCTTGTTCCGAACGAAGTGGGTCTGGTTATAATCAGTCTTGAATTCTTGCAAGAGAGCTTCGAACTCAGATTGGTTGAGGTTCTTGTTGATTTCAGTGTTGAAAAGGGTCTCCATTTCGTCGAAATCGGTGGTGTAAAACCTTGGGGCGAGCAGAGTCTCTTTGATGGCGGCTTTCCCCGATTTCTTAGTGGTTTCCTTGGCTTGGGTGGCGGCCATTTTGGGGCTGAATCTGTAGGTGGTTCTGCTAAATTTAGCAGAGGTTTTGAGAGGGGAAGTTTCAGGCTTGAAAGAGATGGGTTTCAGGAGGGCCATTTCGGCTGCCATTTTTGGAGTTGGGTTTTGGGGGAGGAAGGTTTTTGCTGATTTTTTTGGGGGTGAGGAAGTTTTAGCAGAGGATTTGGAGGAGGTTTTAGCAGAGGTTTTGGAGGCCTCTCTCTTTCTCTCTCTCTGTTTTCTTCTTTAGAGTGAGAAGGGAGTGTAAGAAGGATAGGAGGTGGAGTTTGATTGGTGGGTTGTCGTGTGATCTGATCCGTTGGGAATCCATGTCATGAGACGACAGACTGACACGTGGCAATATTTTTTATGGTCTACCACTCTCTGAATTATCTTGTGGTGAAATTTATAAATTTTGGTATCTTTTTTCCATTTTAGTGTTTAAAAAATCGTCAAAATTGGATTGGACGGATTCGGATTCCAACATTAGGTCGTGAATCCGGATTGAAGAACCCCAAATCACATGGTTGTTAAGACCAGATCACCAACCTAGACTACCTGGTCTCATTGGCCGGAGAGCTGACCAATGTCTTGACAAGTTTAATCTAAAACAAAAATATAGTTCGGCAAAAAACTGGTCATATCTAATATTTGACTGATTTAATCAATTGGATTATTCATTTTGACTAGTTAAACAAAATTGAAAAGCACTTTTGCTATATTTTATATTTTTAAATTTATATTCGTATTTTTTAGTATTTTTTTAAAATATAGTCCAATTAAGTCGAATTAATTTTGATTATATCAGACCTTTCACCGATTCGATGACTACTCCGATCTTGATAAGTATGCCAAAGGGAAATTAACAAAAAAAAAAAAAATCTTTATAAATAAGGTTTGCATAATGTTGTAACTTCAAACAATAAATAAGACCCACCTCCAAATTTTATTATAAGATGTAATTTTGTGGTTAAAAAATTTTAGAATTTTTTGAGAATTTTTTTTTTGTTCTCTAATTATAAAATTAAAAACTTAAAAAATAGTTCCAAGTAGATGTATAAGTATAACCGCATGAAAAACTTGAAAAATGGATGCTCCAGCTAATATGTTGTAGGATGTACTATTTTTCAGATTTGAAATATATATTTTATTTATTTCCATACATCTCGATATCGAGATAATCGATTAGATGGTTTTCCAACATCAAATATTTTTTTTTTTTTTCCTTTTTTTTGACATACACCTTAATTCTATAACTAAAAAAGAGTTC